CTTTATTGTTTAATTTTAATATTAGTTTTTTTAGTATAATATATTCCCAAGCATGTTTTCCAAGGGAAAAACCCTCATGGATACTGCACCTACATATGAAGAAGACTCATTTGCTATTAGAACAAACGATGAGATTGCTAATGATGTTCCCTCTTCTGCACAAATGCCACATCATATTGCAACATCTCTGACCAAGCGTCGCCTAAAGAGGATAACCAATCACATTTGTACTTTTCCACCTGAGGAATCTGTGGAAGACACGCCACCACCCACTTCCTTAGAACCTGAATAACCCATTACTAAGATAAAGAAGTTGTGTCAAGCATATGGCGAGTAAAACAACCCCACCACAAGCAAAGTAGATGTTAGTCAAGGTACCTTGCATTGCATTTCATCTAGCTTAGTTTTAATTTAGTTTTCATGCACTGAGGACATTGCAATAGCTTAAGTTTAGGGGTGTGATAACTCCGTAAAAAGGATATATTTTGTGCCTTTTTACTTAGGTTACTGGTTTTCTAAAAGTCATTTTCATAACATTTTGCTACAACATCTTTTTTTTTCTAAAATTGATGTTATTGAAGGGAAAGGTATTTTGTTTGTGGTGTTGTGGAGGTGAAGAAAGCACAAGAGGAGTAAATATTTTTTGTAGCATTCTGGATAACATGATTTGAAGGAATAATGAAGCTAATCAAGAGAAAATATTGCAACAACATTTTTGGATAGCAATTCTGGGAGCAAAAAATGAAAAAAATAGCAAAAATATCAAGTTGCCTTGCTGTCCAGCCACACGTGAATACCTTGCTAAATTGTCTTTTTGGGGACCACATGTCAGCCTTGCATACCCTTCGTGTGAAGGGAATGATACCTAGGGTACAAAGGGAATTTTGGCATAAAACCCTAGGGATTCCATTAGTATAAATAAATAAATAAGGATGCCCTACATTAAAAGGGAGGATGGGTTTTTTGAGATGAGAGAGAAAAGGTGGGAGATGGCCACTCTTCCTTCTTGTCTTCTTCATCGTGTTGACCTCCATTGTTGAATTTCCATGATGATGAAGCTTATTGGCCTTTGAGAGAAACAGGTGGTTCACGATAATCCACGACGGCTCTTGGCTTGAGAGTTATCTTCCTCTTTTAGTTTTTATTTATTTTCTTTATATTTTGTTGGATATAGGTTGTATTAAATGGATGATTATGGATGCTAATTACCCAGATATGAACTAACTTAGGTTGGCTTGGGTTTATCTTTGATGAATTTGTTACATGTTTAAATGTTTTTCTACAACATTTCCAGTTTATATACATGCTTTGCTTATTGTTTATATTTTAATTGCTTAGACTTGTAAGAGCTTTTGAGAGTTAGCCATTTTCTATGTATAGATGCTTAATATCGAGAGAGTTAGGCTAGATCAATGCAAGCAATGAAGCTAAATCGGGATGGTGAGGTTTTAATTCACCTTAGAGATAGGGAGATGGTTTCAATGACTAAAATGAGTAAGGCTTAATCGATTGTATCATGCTAGGGTTCACGTTGAAAGGTATTGTCGTAGCATTTTCACTGTCAGGTTTCTTACTAGAGATAGCCTAGAAACACCTTAGTAAACTCTGTCAAGCATTGTATTAATTAATTGTAAATTGCTAAAACATTCATTAAGGATAAGACATAGGATTCCAAGATAGACTTAGCATTGATCCTTATTGAGAGTTTCACACTTATGAGTTCGTATCGTTGAGTTATCTTGTATACCCAGTTCTCAACACAATTTTTCCAAAGCATTTTTTTATTGTTTACCTCAGCACTTCACTTAAATGTTTGCCACAACATTTCGAACTCACTTGTGCATACCACATTATACTATATTAGTTAGAATTTTAGTGCATGAGCTTAACTTGGAAATCCCTTCAGTCCTGGTGGAGATGATACTTACTCACTACTATATTACTTGTTCGATTGTGTATACTTGCAAAGTTTTGCGTGCCATAGCATAGTACATTACACAAGCAACAAGTTTTGTTGGACCTTAAAGAAAAGTACTATGCTTTGGGCGTAAAGAGAAGTTGACCACACATTTTATTGGACCTTGTGAGGTGCTTGAGAGGATTGGCCCAGTAACCTACCATTTAGCTTTGCCAACAGAGATGAAGCGTATCCACAATGTATTTCATATGTCCATACTTAAAAGATATTGCTCTAACCAGTCCCGCACCATTTTGTTAGAACAAATTAAAGTGAGTCTTGACATGTCTTATGTAGAGGAATCATTAAGGATCTTGGCACGAAAGGTCAAAGAACTGTGGAACAAAAGGATTCTACTTGTAAGGGTCCTTTGGAGAAATCATGGAGCTGGTGAAGCAATGTGAGAAACCGAGGTACCACGATAACATAACTCCCTTTCTAGCAATCTCATATCTCAATCTATACTTTTTGTCATTCGACGTCACAACCTTCGGTGTCACCTCCTCTTTATTCAATTTCTTCCTCTTAAACCAATCTTTCTCAACGCCTTAAAATTTTAATTAAAAATTTAATGAGATCAAATATCTTAACCCTTCAAAGAGATTTATGTGATCAGATTTGGGTTTGAATTCAACAACTTCTTCAGGCTTTTCAGCAGCAGGTTTTGAACCTTCAGGTTTATTATTTAATGGAACCGAACAGCGAGTAGCTTGAAACTGCTCAAGTCGGAACACAACATTCATTTTTCTTGCTTATTCATGTTTTAGTTGTTCTTTTGCAATAGCTTCTTCGTCTTTCCACACTTATTCATCGAAACGACGTAGTGTTGAGTATTCTTAGTAACCTTGTGGTCATTGGAACGAATACTCCACTTTGAAACCATCAAAGCAAGCTACTCTATCTTCTTTGTTATATCATTCCCTCATGAGTTTGAACTCATAATCGCATAGTCAATTTAACATTGATTTGGAAGAGGAAGAGACAAATAACGATTTTTGTAGTTCTTTCTACCAAATAAACACAAGTATCATAATTATCACAACAATACAAACCAAAACAATGAATTCATCAATTCAGACTAGACAACACCATTGCCTTCAACTATGAGTAGCGTATCTTGGAATTATTTGAATTTTTTAATGAGCTTTATGGGAGATAGAAGTTGTCTTATTTTTTGAGTAAAGTAGTGGAGAACAAAGGACGCATGATCTTAAAGCATACTAGGTAAAGCAAACTCATGGAGATGAATAAATAAATAAAAAGAATTATATATTATTTTATTGTTAGATTAAGAATGAAGAAGACTACAAATTAAATAATATTTGATAAATTGAAGAGTAAGATTTGAAAAAAGAGAAAAGCATGATTAAATTTAATTCAAAATTAAATGAGTAAATAAGAGAAATGGAAGAAGATGGTTGAAACTAAACATTTTATGAAAATTATAAAAATTGGTCCCTAACTATAAATATTAAAAACTAGTTAAATTTAATTCAACATTAAATGAATTAATAAGATAAATGAAAAAGAGGGTAAAAAATTAAAAAAAAATTATGAAATTATAAAAATTAGGGCCCTAATTATAAATTTAAGGGTCTAATTATAAATACAAAAAAAATTGGAGGCCTTGAGCGGTTGCTCAGGGTGCTCCCTTAAAGTCGGCCCCGACTTTAAGTGTTTATTGTCAAATGGTTGAAAGTTTTTAAAATATATACTATCACTTATAATCACTCTAGATTAAGAATAATAATATTTAATAAATTGCATTTGACTAACTAATTAAATAATATTTAAAGGGTTTCTAAAATATATCTAACTAATTTTATATTTATAATATATGAAATTCAAACACATATTTAAATTAAGGGTAAACTAGTTCAGATACCACTCAATTTTGGGCGTTAATTCATTTATATCATTGAATTTTTAATTTTACTTATTTTAACATTAACGTTATGTTTTATGTTCAATTATATCACTTCATTATTAATGGTTTAACGACACGACAAAATGGTAGTTGCACGTCGTGATAGTGATGATGTTAAAACCATTTTCCTCGTAATATCGTATTTTAAAAATTAAATGATATTAAAAGGCGTCAAACGATGTAGTATTATTAGATATTCCACTGTTATGTCTGATCACTCTCCTTCTCTTGTTTCTCCATCTTTAAACTTTCTTTTTGCAACTCTTCTACTGTCTTCTTCCCGATTTTCCTTCCATCATCCTTCTGCACTTTTTCTTCTCTTTTCATTTTCTATGATTTATTCTGAATATTTAAAATCAAATTATGTATCATACATGCATTCAATTTTTTTATATTTATTCTCTCTTAGTTATATTTAAGGTGTTTTTTTAAATAAAATAGTAAAAATAATATATTTTCACAAAATTTAATCGTTTTTCTATGATTTATTTATGTAATATTGAATTAATTGTTCCAAGTAATGAAAAATACTTTCATTTTATAAATGCATATTTTTTAATTTTCGCTCTAAGCCCCAAAAATATCTGAAACAACTTTGGTCAAAGTTGAATACTATCTAAAGTTTTACCCTTAATTAAAATATATGTTTGAATTCCATATATTTATAAATATAAAATTAGTTAGATATATTTTAATAACCCTTTAAATATTATTTAATTAGTTAGTCAAATGTAATTGATTAAATATTATTATTTTTTATTAATCTAGGGTGATTATAAGTTATAATATATGTTTTAAAAACTTTAAATCATTTTACAATAAAAACTCAAAATATTTTATAGTCACTAGTGCTCGAACCCGAGACCTCTAAAAATAACAATTATCTCTTTAAGGACTAAAATAATTTAACTCGTGCATTTATTAAATACTATTAACTGCATATTATCTCTACGTTATAGATATAATATTATTCTTATATTATTAAATATAATACTACCCTTATTAAGTATTATTAGCTAATTAATTATGCTTAACTACATTAAAGACCAGAAAAGAAAATAAACTACATTAAAGGACGGAAAAAGAAAAATAAGCTAACAAGGGTTAAAACCGTGAAATCCTGAACCTTTAAAGACCAGAAATTTTATTCTTAGTTGTCCGAAGTCCAAACTTTTATTTTCTCCCTTTCTTCGCTGTTTCAACTCTCAACAATTTTACTAATTTTTTTGGAAATCTTGTATGGAGCTCTCACACTCTCATTGTTCTTCCCTTGGAATTTCAGCTGTAAATCCTCATTGCAAAGCCGCATCTTGTCCTCCAAAGGCGATACCCAGTAAGCTCAATGCCAAGCGTTTGAAAATTTTCAAATATGGGGTCTCAGTTGGGCTTTTCAATCGTTCAAGTTGCTCAAAACATGTTCCAGCTGGGAGGTACAAGCGTAATTCAAGCTGGGTATATCTTGTTCCCTCAAACTCTTACTTTAAGTTTTTGTTGTTTTCCGGGTTTCTTGTCGGTTATGCCTGCGAATCCGCGATCGAGAATCCAAAATTTGTATGTTAGTTGAGAATTGGGTTCTGTTTAATAACTTGAACTTCTTAGAGTTATCAATTTATCTTCGAGAATAAGCTTGCTGTAGATTATCTTAAATGTAAATCAAAAGCAACTGGTAGAAAGTTAAATGATACTTCATTAAATATAAATTCGAAAGGTTGGCATTTTTAATCTTTATTTTTTATAATGAATTCTTTCTTTGTTGTTTTCAAACGCGTCTTTAATATATATAGAAAAGCAAGTAGTAAAGCAACATCCAAATTATGCCTAGTTTGATTTGAACTGCAAATTTTAGTTTCAACATCCAAAATATGCTGTTAACGTCTTTCTTTTACAAGATTTGAAACCCTTTTTTATTGTATACTGATCTAATAGTGGATGTCTTGAGCTTGCCAGCTCAAAACAGCTTTTGTCAATTTAGCAGTGTATACAGTTGTAATTTGTAAATTGTTTGCCAATCCACCCCTTTATTTCATATTTATTGTTGTTAACTATGAGCCAACGAGTCTATATGTGCCATTAATGTAATGTGAATGTGGCTTATACCAGGCTTGCAGTCAAGTTGGTGCTGCTGGGTCTGATCCAATGCTTAACAAAGTATCAACTTTCAGAGATGTGTGCTGGAGGTTCTTAAGGCCCCATACAATACGTGGAACGGCTCTAGGATCAGCGTAAGAACTTAGATTGAAGTACTGGTTATATGTGGTGAATTAATTGAATGTTTCTGGTTTATTTTAAGTGAAGTTTGTCGTCAAATTCATTGGCAGTGCTTTGGTCGGAAGAGCATTAATTGAGAACTCAAATTTGATAAAGTGGTCTCTTCTGCTGAAGGCATTCTCCGGTCTTATAGCTCTAATATGTGGAAATGGCTATATAGTTGGCATCAATCAGATCTACGATATTGGAATTGACAAGTATGTGACATTTCTTTGTAAAAACAATTTACTTATCAAGTGAAAATGTAAGTAGTGACTTATTTAACATCCTTGAATTTTAAATTTGAGCTGCCAATACACAACTACGGGTCTTTGTCATCTAACACATATATATATTTATTATTCAACATGTTATTTTTCTTTTTAAATTTTTTGGCTTTGTTAAAATGTTTTTTGATTGAATATCTGTGTTATAGTTTTCATCTTGGATTGTAGATCATGCAGGAACTGTAAGACTGTGTAGCTTCTTAAACAAAATTTGAGGTTTCAAGATTATGCTTATGGGTATATACTAGTGACATTAAGGGATGAGAATGTAACTTATCTTTTTTTTTCTCTCCACTTTGCAGGGTAAATAAACCCTACTTACCCGTAGCTGCAGGGGATCTCTCAGTTCAGTCAGCATGGTTCTTGGTGATATTTTTTGCAGTGACAGGCCTTCTGATTGTTGGATACAACTTTGGCACATTTATCACATCTCTTTATTCTCTTGGTCTTTTCCTGGGCACCATTTATTCTGTTCCCCCATTTAGAATGAAGAGATTTCCGGTTGCAGCGTTTCTCATAATTGCCACGGTACTTTGTTGTGAAGAACATATTGTTTAAACTTTATTCAATGATGGAACTATCTAGCTGATAACATTGGTTGCCTGAAACTGATTCCATGTTAAGCACGGACAAAATATTCTTCTTGATAGAAGAAAATGAAGCAACTTATTTCAGAAGTCATTAGAGAGAAGTTTATATCATATTTTTATCCTTGTTTCTGGTGCATTAGTTGATTGAATGTTATGCAGCATAACTGTTAATTGATTTGATTTTAGAATTGGTTGTAAAATGAAAGTGGAAGTGTGATCAGTGACTGGACCAGCGTAGTACACGGATATTAATAGTTGATGGTTTTGTAATACTTACTGTAACCTATATGGAAATGACACCCTTTTGCATGAATTGGCACCTCATTTACTTCTGAATATTTTCATGTTTGTTTCTAACTGTCATCATTGGAGAAAATTTAAGAAATTGTCATTTGCAGGTGCGTGGCTTCCTTCTGAACTTTGGGGTTTATCATGCCACAAGAGCTGCTCTTGGACTTTCGTTTCAGTGGAGGTGGGTAACCATCCTTTTAATGCTTAACTTCTTAATATTGGTCAATATTTGAGTGGAGTTGGGCGACGTCCATTCCAGTTGCTATGCATATCCTTGACGTACTAAAAAAAATTATATACTTGACCACAAAAAAATGGAAAGGGAAAAGTGATCATTCACTTCTATTGTATTTCTAACCTAGTATTGCGACTTGATAAAAGCATGTGCTATTAGTTCATGAATTTGACCCCTGATCATCCATGAAGTACCTCTGAGTTCTTTTCCATCATTGAGTGTAGTGGAACCTTTCTTATACTTTCCATCTAATTTCAACTCCCAAGATTTGCACTCACTTTTATAATCAGACATCATTGACTAAGGTTTCACTTTTATGAACACATGTTTGAAAACTGTTGAGAGACCTAAACATGTAACTTGACCCCTATTCTGTCTGCAGTGCACCTGTGGCATTTATCACAACTTTCGTGACATTGTTTGCACTGGTTATTGCCATAACCAAGGATCTTCCAGATGTAGAAGGAGATCGCAAGTAAGTTTTTGACCAATTTAACATATATTTTTTTTGTTCTGTTCTTCTCCAGTTGACATTGTTGATATCAAGTTTCCTTGCCACCCAGCGAGTTTCCTTCATGAGTTGTGAAATATTGATTGATTGTTCAAACTATAGCTATTCGATTTAAACCTATACTACTGTTTTGGTCACTAAAATTTTCTATATCAACATCTGAGATCTGTTTGTGCAATCATTTACAGATTTCAAATATCAACATTAGCAACAAAGCTTGGAGTTAGAAATATTGCACTTCTTGGTACCGGACTTCTACTGGTGAATTATGTTGCTGCTGTGTTGGCTGCAATATACATTCCTCAGGTGAACGAGTACCTCAAAAAATCTGTCTTATCATTCCCTAGTATTTGTTCCTGAATTCATTGTTTATTTTGTGTAGCTCAGTGAAGCATTTGAGCATTGTTTTGATTTCTTTAATCTATCTTCGAGAGAGATTATCCAAAAATAGTAAATTCTTCAATTGCATATGTTACAGGCTTTCAGGTGTAGTTTAATGATACCTGCTCATATCTTCTTGGGAGTATGCTTGGTTTTCCAGGTGCATTTCCTGGATTTTTTACTTTTTCAAATGTAATAATGACCTGGAATTTATTATTCTTTATTATTTGCTTCCAGAAACAGACATTCTTGAAAGAATCTTCGTTTCAAATTTCAATAACAGTTGCTTCTTTATCAAAAACCTAATCCTTGGAGTATTATTTTTACTTTGTAGTGTCAGTTCAGTTTGTGACTGATTGTTTTTTCTTCCTCAATTTTGATCTCTGGTGCAATTTTTCTTAATATTGGTTCAGGCATGGGGGTTGGAACAAGCAAATTACACTAAGGTAATGCCTAACGTCACGTAGATCATATCACATTAGCGCATTGGACATGTTATATACTTCAGTTGAATGAATTTTTCAATTTCGGCGATTATGGATAACCGTATAGCAAATAGATATCTAGACTCACCATCCTACCGGGAGTTATGGTTTTGATAAGTTAAGGCCACCTTTGGCTGTTAGTTTGAATAAATGACCACATTTGATATGAACACTCCGGCTTGTTTTTCTTAAAAGTATTGGTGCCCAACAAATTTGCACATAGTTATGAGGGCATGTGATACGAAACCACCTTTAAGGACCTGCTTTAGATAGCCACGTAAGGAAGTGATGGCAGCTAAAACAAATGTGTTTGTCTTTCTTGAAGATCTTATTGAAAATCTAGTTACTAATACCTTGGGTGGTTTTATCCCATGACTGGTTAAATCCCTATCTTCCAACTTAATCATATTCCCCAAATTTTCTGCTTATTTATTGTTTTGTTTTGGTTGTAAATAAGTGAATTCTTAAGCTATAAAATGTCTAGGGGACTTTAGCTTAGTCTTCCTCTAGTCATTTGTTATTTGAATTTGGGAGACTTTTCCATTTAAGTTTTTCAGAGACTATAGTGAATAAAATTGTTCTGTATATATTACGTAAAGAACTATGAGTTTAAATAGGAAAAAGAACTCGGAACATAAACTGGGAAAATAGATCCCTTATTCTAGGAAACTACTAGAAAAAGAAAAAAGTCTTCCTAAAAAATCTCAATTTTATTATTCTAATATTATCTAATCAAATAACTTAAAATTATCCCATAATTTATTGGAGTTCAACGAATATTTCGACACCTCCCTCAAGTTGGTGCATACATTTCGATCATGCCTAACTTGCTTACAAGAAAATCAAAGCTCGTCTTAAAGAGCCCTTTAGTAGTAGGTCAACAATCTGTCAAGGAACAAACAACATGCAGACTTTGCCTTCTTCAATCTTTTCCTTGATAAAGTGCCTATTAATCTCAACATGTTTAGTTTTGTCATGCTGAACAGAGTTATGAGCAATGCAAATGGCAGCTTTGCTATCTCAATAAAACTTTATTGGTGAAGTTATTGGTTTCCTCAGTTCTTTCTTCCATAATTCTTTTTAACCATATCATTTCACAAATTCCTTGAGCCATTGATATGACCTCAGCCTCCACACTACTTGTTACAACACTTTGTTTTTTGTTTTGCCAAATCACAAGGTTTCCCCAAATAAATGTACAATACCCTGATTTAGATCTTCTATATGTTATTGAGCCTTTGCCAGGTGAACTTTTCAATTATCTCAAAATTTGAAACACTGCTTCCTCATGTTCCTCTACTGAAGAATGCATAAATTGTCTCACTAAGCTTACTGCAAAAGTTAAGTTTGAACTTGTATGTGATAAGAAGATTAACTCACCATCTAATCTTTGGTATTTCCCTTTATCAACCAATCTTTATTTTCGAATTTTATGCTTGGATCAATTGGCGTATTAGCTGGGCGGCAACCGCTCATTATAGTCTCCTTTAAAAGACCAGTCACATATTTTTTGAGATACCACAAGACCCTTCTTTGATCGAGCAACTTTTATAAGGAAGTATTTTAAAGGCCCTAAGTCTTTGCTCTCACACTCCGATGCTAGGTGCCCCTTGAGACGTCTTATTTTATCCACATCATCTCCTGTAGAATGTTGTTTTAATCTCAGAAAAAAAGAAGAGAATAATTTCTTTTGTATTATTAACATCAATTGTATAGGTATGTATACAAGTGTAGAGTCTCTATACTAGATAACATAATATTCTATTTTAATTAGTCTTTTAATAGTTAAAATTTAGCCTATAAAATATCCTATAAATCAGTAACACTCCCCTTTAACCTGTAGCATAAATGTTAGTTATTCCCAGCTTGTTACATAGATAATCAATTCGGACCCGTTAAGAGCCTTTGTGAATATATCACCTAATTGTTCTCCAATTTTTAAATAACCTATAGAAATCAGACCAACATTAATTTTTTTCACAAATGATATGACAATCAACCTCAATATGCTTCATTAGTTCATGAAAGATTGGATTAGAAGCTGTATGAATTGTAGCTTGATTATCACATAGCTTTGCAGGTGAGTTCATCATTCCTACTTCATTGAAGAGCTGATAAATCCATACAACTTAACACATAAATTTGGTCATAGCTCTGTATTCAGCTTCCACACTTAATTGTGATACAACATTCTGTTCTTACACTTCCATAAAATCAAGTATACTCCAACAAAAACACAACATCTTGAAGTAGATCTCCTATCTTCCTTGCATCCTGCCCAATCCGAATCTGAAAAGCATTCGATCCTAGTATACCAAGATTGTCATATAAGATTCCACGTCCATGAGCACTTTTTAAATAATGCAGAACTTGCTTTACCGCTTCCAATGATCAACAGTTGGTTATGACATATACTGGATCTGCATACTCACCTGATAAACAATGTCAAGACACATCATAATAGTAAGATAATTCAACTTTCCAGTAATTCTTTTGTATTTCTCAGGATCTGCAAATAATTCACCTTCTGAGGTTAATGATAAATTGAGAACCATTGGAGTACTGCATGGTTTAGCATCCAACTTTCCTGACTGTCTTTGATAGTAAATCAAACACATACTTCCTTAGAGATAAGAAGAATCCTTTCTTACTCTGCTAAATTCAACTCCGAAGAAATATTTTAACATCTCAAGTCTTTGGTATGAAATTGAGTATGGAGAAATAATTTTAGAGACGAAATTCCTCGAGTCACTAATGATTACATATCATCCACATATACAACTAACAGAATAATGCCGCCATCAGAATGTTTATAGAAAAAAAGAATGGTCTTCTGCATCCTAAACTTCTCAACAACTTTGCTAAATTTTCCAAACCAAGCCCGAACACTTTGTTTCAAGCCATATAAGGAGTTCAATGAATGTTTATACAGTCAACTCCATGCGTATGATATTATTCAAATCACATATGATATATGAATGATTTCTCAGGCAGATTTAAAAGGTCATTGACATTGGGAAAATTGAAATCTGGCATATTCTTCAACATAAAAAGTTGATGGATTTTGAAGCATATAGAATGACCATCTTTGAATCAAATTATTGATTTAATAATTACAATCATGTTTTATATTGAAAATACTAGTACTTATTATATCATTCTCTCAACTATAGTCTAGTTGCTACGTGTCCGCCAGTTAGTGTTTGCAGAAGGTCTACATTAGATGATTCATAGAAAGACCATATTATGTTTCCCAAAGTGCACCGGATGCACTTTGGTTAAATTTTTTTACTTGTGGGATGATCATGCCTTTATGTCTGCATCGATATGTTTGGCAGCCTATGGCAGCAAACTGTCTATTGATCTATTTCAGCCACTCAGCTCTCTAATATTTTCATTGTTAACAACCGCGTGATGTTTGAACATTTTTAAGTCAAGTGAGCAGTATTTGTAAGATTCATATTTGAGGGTTTTCATTTATTTATTTTCTTGAAACTTAATCACAATTTCAAGCTGCACTCCATACCGGATGTTATATTTGATTGAAATTTTGCAGGAAGCAATCTCAGGGTTCTATCGCTTCATATGGAATCTTTTCTACGCGGAGTATGCGATCTTCCCTTTCGTGTAGAACCCTGATCTTTACTCTCCATACTTTTGTTTATCGTATTTTCATTTTCAAGGAGGGGGAGAATGTAAATATCTTCATGACTGCCATCCATTGCCTCTTTTGACAACACTATCTTGAATCAGTTCTTATGCGAAGAAATTAAAAGAAAAAAGGTTCATTCTTAGTTATCCCTGTATTGGGAGTTTTATACGCCGCATGCATTCTCGTGAAGGTTAGATCAGTGTTCAAAATAAGTAGGATCAATTTAGTTTGTAGTTAGTTAATAAGTTTCGAAATGAGCTGGTATTAATATGCATGTTTACAATAACTCGATTGAACATAGATATCAAACGCATTACTTATGCTGCAATGTAGAGTTTGAGCTAATATAGGTTAAACCCTTAACACTTCTCTTGACAGAAAAAATATATAATAGAGAACGTAGGAACTATTGACCGTTTCCAAAAGAAAGCCAACTACTCTTCATCTGAAACATTATTCCCAAATTTGTTTGTGAACTAAAACAATGAAAATCTAAGATATTTTAAGCCTTTTAACACACATTATACAAGTGATATAAAATAAAAGAAATCACAACTCACAAGTATATAGGGGTGTCTCGAAATGATAATTTGCACGGTAGATTAACAAGATCATTAGCTACTGGATTGTAATTTGCAGTACATATTTTAATAATTTGAGGTGATTATAAGGTAGTATTTATTTATATTTTTTTAATCTATTGATAACACAAATTTATCACATTTATCCTATAGAACACACTATATTCAGTGAAAAAATTCATTAATCTGTCTTGCAAATGTCAATTTTAACTTGTAAATTACACACTCTTCCTTCCACGATAAAAAACTGAAATTCAATTCAATTAGCGAATATGAAGAACTGTAATTAATTTTTTTTAAATGAAATAATAAAATTACAATAAAAATCTATAAAAGAAAATTACAACAATTTCATAGTTTGCAAGTTCACTGCAATTGCTCAACATAAAATAAGAGAACTTTTAGCAATTGTCTTCTTCCCTTAGTCCCCTGTCACACAACCACCAAGCAATTCCTCACCATCACACAGCCACAATAATAATCCACAATTTAAAATTTTAGCACCACCTTCGCGATGCTAGCTTTCCTACCATTTTAGTTTTTTAAAGGGTAAACTACTTGGATAACCACTCAACTATGGAATTGGTATCAAAATGACCACCATTTTCAATCAATTATTAAGACATATTTTAATGGTTACACGTGTCATAAGCGATTGTAATTGATCTTGAGACTTTGGGCATAAGGTAGGCACGAACCATTAAGGCAAGTCCAATATTTGTTACTTGTTTGTCAATCCTTGTATATATCTTGTTTTAAATTATACATAAAAATAATAATATTTTAATAAATAAATTATAAGATAAACTACTTGAATAACCACCTAAATAATATTCTAATAAATACATTATTAGTTAATGCAAGGTTTAAAAATAAAATTAAGTTTAAAATTTTTATATTTTAAAATTAATTTTTATATAATTAATTTAAATAAGTTTAAATTATATATTATTTTTAAATGATAAATGAATAAAAAACATTGTAAGAAAGAAAAATGATATAATTTAAACTCGTTTAAAAATAATTTTATAAAGAAATAATTTAATTTTAAAATATAAACAATTTAAACTCAATTTTATTTTTAAACATTGCATTAACTAATAATTTATTTATTAGAATATTATTTAGATAATCATTCAAGTATTTTATCCTATAATTTATTTATTAAAATGTTATTATTTTTATATATAATTTAAAACAAGATATATACAAGGTTTAAAAAATTAATAACAAAAGTTGAGCTTGCTTCAAATGTTGAGGTGTGCTTGCTTTGAGCCTAAGGTCTTAGGATCAATTCCTCTTGGTAGTAATATTTTATGGTTAATTATTTTAAATTAAATTAAAATTAAGACTAAATTGATAGATTATATAGATATTGAGGATTAAATGTATAATTATACAATTTTTTAACTATCATGTCACCCCTCTATTAGATTTTAATAGTTAGTGATTATATTGAACTCATTTATATAATTCAGTGGTCATATGGATGCAAATTTAAAAATGATGATTAGTTCGATACCAACTCCACAGTTGGTGGTCATCCAAGTAGTTTACCCTTGTTTAAATTAGGGATGGAAGTAATTTTAACGAGGCAAAAATAATTATTAATATAAAATATATAAAAGATTTTTAATATAAAAATAATTTTCCAAGAATTACAGTTGGGCCAACTTATCTTTCTTTTTCTATATATAAAAGCCTCTAAAACCTAGTCGACTCACTCACCTTGTCATCTTTCAGAACACCTTAGCAGATAATATCCAGCGATTCACCTTCAAGATCCATCCAGATAAGCCTTTTCTCATAGGTTGAAAAAACTGGGTTTTCAGCTGCTGACGGCGCCGGTATCTTTATTTTATTCCTTTTTTCTTTTTAGCTATGATGCGGTTTTGTGTTTCATAGACGTTTATGGTTTTTAGATCCGCGAACTCTTGATTCTTGGTTGATAAACAAATTAACCAATAATAGTGAAAATATCTCTTTTATCACGTGAACATGTAAAAAATCGACCACTTTCCTGAGCCGCTGTGTCGAATTAATAGATTTATTTTTATTTTCGCTAATTTTATGCTCACATGTTCATCTAGCTTCTGCTATAGATTTTATTTAATTCAAAAGTCTAATTTTTTTATTTTCTTTTTGCAGCTTTTAAATTTAATTTAAGAAAGGAAAAGACAATGGCATCCAAGTTCTGGACTCAGGTTTGATTTAATTTATTTAATTTTATTTTTTTACACATGAATTGAAAAAATATATATAGCCTTTACAAAGTATACTAATAAAGAGCTTGGAGTCTTGGGCATTTTGTAAAATTTTATGAATTCTACAGCTTTACCAATTTATGACAGGGTGGTAGTGACACCGAGGAAGAGGAGACTGATATCGAAGATGAAATTGAGGATGGCGGAGCCGGAGAAACCACAGCCGCCGCTGGAAGTAGATATCTCCAAGCTAATGCAAGTGATAGCGATGATTCTGATGGACAAAAGAGGGTGGTTAGATCTGCTAAAGATAAGAGGTTTGAGGAGATGGCAAGTACGGTTGATCAGATGAAAAATGCAATGAAAATCAATGACTGGGTTAGTTTGCAGGAGAGTTTTGACAAGATTAATAAACAGCTGGAGAAGGTTATGCGTGCTACTGAGTCGGACAAAGTTCCGAGTCTTTATATCAAGTGTCTTGTGATGTTGGAGGATTTCTTAGCAGAAGCTTTGGCTAATAAGGAGGCAAAAAAGAAAATGAGTAGTAGTAATCACAAGGCTTTGAATGCAATGAAACAGAAGCTCAAGAAGAATAATAAGCAGTATGAGGAATTGATTAATAAGTATAGGGAGAATCCTGAGAGTGAAGAAGAGAAGCTTGAAGATGAGGAAGAAGATGAGGATGAAGATGAATCTGGGTCTGAGGTGGAGGATCCGTCACAAATTGCTGAGTTCAGTGATGAAGACGATGAGGGAGAAGAACTGGATGATGCTGTTGTTTTTCAAGGGGCTTGGGAGAAGAAACTGAGCAAAAAAGAGAAACTGATGGATCGGGAGTTCAAGAAGGATCCTAGTGAGATCACCTGGGATACTGTTAACAAAAAGTTTAAAGAGGTCGTGGCTGCTAGAGGAAGGAAGGGAACTGGAAAATTTGAACAGGTTGAGCAACTTACCTTCTTGACAAAGGTTGCCAAGACTCCTGCTCAGAAGCTTGAGATCCTTTTCAGTGTTATATCTGCGCAGTTTGATGTTAATCCAGGTCTTAGTGGGCACATGCCTATAAATGTATGGAAGAAGTGTGTACAGAATATGCTTGTTATATTGGACATCCTTGTTCAGTACCCTAACATTGTGGTTGATGATATGGTTGAGCCTGATGAGAATGAAACCCAGAAAGGAGCAGACTATGATGGCACAATCCATGTTTGGGGAAATTTGGTTGCCTTCCTTGAGAGAATAGATAATGAGTTCTTCAAGAGCTTGCAGTGCATTGATCCACATACTCGTGAGTATGTTGAGAGACTGAGGGATGAACCTTTATTTTTGGTCCTTGCACAAAACGTCCAGGAGTATCTGGAGCGAATTGGTGATTTGAAGTCTGCTGCTAAGGTTGCTCTAAGGCGTGTTGAACTTGTGTATTACAAGCCTCAAGAGGTTTATGATGCAATGAGGAAACTTGCTGAGCTATCAGAAGATGGAGAAAATGATGGTGAGGAGACTAAAGTTGAGGAAACTCGGGGTTCATCCTCATTTGTTGTAAATCCAGAGCTTGTGCCTCGGAAGTCCACGTTCCCTGATAATAGCAGAGCATTGATGGATATCCTAGTGACACTCATTTACAAAAGTGGAGATGAGAGAACCAAAGCCCGTGCCATGCTTTGTGATATTTATCACCATGCCCTTTTTGATGAGTTTCCAATAGCTCGTGATTTGTTGCTGATGAGTCATTTGCAGGATAATATTCAGCATATGGATGTTTCAACACAGATACTCTTTAACCGGGCAATGGCACAAGTTGGACTCTGTGCCTTTCGTGTTGGGCTAATTTCTGATGCTCATGGGTGCCTATCTGAACTCTATTCGGGTGGCAGGGTGAAGGAATTGCTTGCACAAGGTGTTTCACAAAGTCGATATCATGAGAAAACCCCAGAACAGGTATTGATCGTTATATAATTCCGTGACAGATCATAATCCTGAATAGCTTTAATTAATAATCTGGATTTTCCACAGTATTGTTGTTTTTTTACTGTTTGTGCGATGTTTTTGCATGGTAATATTTTTTTGTTGCAAGTGTTAGTAAATAGTTATTAATTGGTTGGTTAGATGGTTTTTTTCTTTGGGATTGAAAGGATATCTCTTTTTTACATGATGTTTCTGTTAGGCATTGGATGTTTGAGTTATGGAATCAAATGTAGTAGCTAGGGTTACAAAACGACAAACCTGTGTGAAATTCTAGTTGTTGAAGTATATTCTCCACTGACCAATTCCTTTTGGAAATAATTACTATATATCTAACTATTAATGTTGATCTGTGAATATGATAGCAAAAAAATATTGTTGATCGATGAACCTTCGTGGCAGACCTTAAATGCCTGCAAGCCATACCCTTCGTTAGTAAACATCTAAACATTGGGATGTTACAAGCTCTTCCTGCTATCATGCAATTATTTGAGGACTTTTACCCACTTTAACTTTGGATTATATCAGGAAAGGTTGGAAAGGAGACGTCAGATGCCTTACCATATGCACATAAACCCTGAGCTTCTAGAGGCTGTGCATTTGATTTGTGCCATGCTTCTTGAGATTCCTAACATGGCGGCCAACTCCCATGATGCCAAGCGCAAGGTGATAAGTAAGACATTCAGGCGGTTGCTTGAGGTGAGTGAGAGGCAGACCTTTACAGGTCCCCCAGAAAATGTGCGGGACCATGTGATGGCTGCCACCAGGGCCCTTTGCAAGGGAGATTTTCAGAAAGCCTTTGACGTCATTAATTCTCTTGATGTTTGGAAGCTCCTTAGAAATTGGGAGTGTGTGCTTGAAATGCTGAAAGCTAAGATCAAGGAAGAGGCTTTGAGAACTTACCTTTTTACTTACTGTTCATCGTATGATACACTAAGCTTGGATCAGCTCACCAAAATGTTTGACCTCTCAGAGGCCCAGGTTCATAGCATAGTTAGCAAGATGTTGATTAATGAAGAACTCCATGCAAGTTGGGACCAGCCGACACGGTGCATTGTCTTCCATGATGTTGAATACTCGAGGTTGCAGGCTTTGGCATTCCAATTGACTGAAAAGCTTTCAATACTTGCTGAGAGCAATGAAAGGGCGGTAGAGGCAAGAATTGGTGGTGGTGGATTGGATCTGCCACTAAGGCGACGAGATAACCAGGAATATTCAAGTGGCGGCGGCAGCAGGTGGCCGGACTTGTCCTACAACAATCAGGGTAGACAAGGTGGTTCTGGACGTACATCATGTAGTGGCGGTGGCAGACCAATGGCAATAGGACAGACTTCAAGGGATCGGTCAGGGCAGTCAAGAGGAACAGGTGGGTATTCTGGGAGAAGTGGTTCAGGAATGAGAGGTTCCCAGGATGCTTCAGCTCGCATGGTCAGTCTCAACAGGGGTGTTCGTGGTTAGTTCTTAATGTTGGGTCTCTTGAACCGAAATTCGTCTTCTATTATAAGTTTTTTACTGCAACACTTTGAGATGCGGTTGAACTTTGATTAATGGTTTTTGTAGTGTTTTTTTTCCTTTTATGGTTGCGACTACTCACGCTATATTATGTTGAATGCTTTTTTAGTTGCATATTTTATAGATAGATGTCTTTTGTTTCTATGATCAACTCGAGCTATTTTATTTGTTCTGGAGTGTTTACTTTCGAGTATGGATGGAAGGTGAATTAAAGGATTAAACGATGTAGTTTTAGGCTCCAAAAACGTGGGAGGCAATGTCTTCTTTTGGTAAGGGGATGTAGTTGGCTGGGCATGCCTCTTCATCTCTTTTGTTGCAATTCTGCCTAACATTTTATTATTCGAGTAAATCAAAAGGCTTTTAAATTATACCCATTTTTTGAAAGTAATCTTTAGATTTTTTATCCATCCACTTAGATGTCTCAATCGTAATAATCGTTAAAAAAATTCATTTAAGTGTCATATGTCATATTTTAGTAATTTTAAAAAATTTTATTTTAAAAAATTAAAAATTATTAGTATATTTTAAAATTTTTTAATTAAAAAAGTATCGTATATTTAAAATTTTCAAATCTCTAATCCTAGCCCTATCTCTCTTGTCGGCTATGACCTCTGAAGTTAATGTTGTCCTTGTAATCTCTCTTGTTTGTCGTCGCCATTAATATAGCTATCAGAGTCGTCGTGAGTCACGAATCACGTGTGTGTCGCAATTTGAAAAACTTGATGTTTAAATTATGAGTGTCAGGATTCGTTGGGTTCTAGGTTTTTGGGTGGTCAGAATCATCATGTCGTCAGTTAGTGGTTCGATCGGGTGGGGTTTGACAACAATGGTGGTAAAAAAATTTATAACTTTTGAGTTTTTTAATAAAAAAATATTTTCGTTTTTTTAAAAATAAAATTATCAAAATTACCACTTAACGAAGTTTTCTAATAGTCGTTATGGTCGAGACACTTACAGTGGTAATATTTATAACCTTAGACACCTGAATGAATTTAAAAACTTTAAACACAACTTTAAGAAAAATAATACTTATTTTCTAATTAAGCAAGATCAAAGTAAACAACCATCGTCATGGGTTTGAAATAAAAATAAATAAAAAGAAAGAGAAATCCAAATGGTAAAATTTTTTTGGGGTTTTTTTTTAGTTTGTCCATGAGGAGGTACAATAGATTTAAGAGTCGAGGGTCGAATAAAAAATTCTGATTATTTATCTATTTTAGAATAATAATAAAAATAAAATAATGTGTAAATAGTAAAGGTTAAGTTTATTCATATAAAATTACTAACGTCACACTATCTTGTGTTAAAAATAAAATAAAATAAATTATTTTATAATTTTCGATTAGTTGAATGATCATTTTCATAATTTTTATAATCAAATGACCCAATTGTAACATATTATATAGTTAAGGAACTATACCTTTAGCATCAAGCCATTTTTCTATGGTCCATACTTACCTATCGGATTAACACAAAGAATAGTCTGACCTGCCAAAAGATGAGTTTAGCTTAACATAATAACATATTCAGTTTTCAACACGCCAGCCAACACAACAGCTTCAACTCCTCAACAATCAACTGGCTCGATAGCTTAACTTCTCAACATTCACAACACTTCTTAATCTGTTCAAAAATAAAAAAAAAAGACCAGCAGTCACCATTACTAGCGCAAACAAAAAACAGATCAATAACCACCACTACTAACACAGACTTGAGTAAGAGAAATGACTTTCAAACCCAGACGCAATTCTTGAAACCTAACTGTAGACAAGGGTTTTCTGAGAGTATCTTCAAGTTGAAATTGAGTAGAAACATAATTCACCTTCAGTAATTTTTTCACGCAGAAATGAATATTTAGGTATACATGATTAATTTTCGTATGTAAAATCAGATTGGCTGCCATAGAAACTGTACTGGTGTTGTCACACCGACAACGACCATCTGAAAACTGGATAATTGCATATCCTCTAGAAGAACTTTGACCCAAATGACTTCGGATGTAACATCAGCTAAGCTCTGGTACTCCGCCTCATCAGTCAATCTAGACACATATTTGTGCTTCCTTCAGGGCCGGTTTTGGGCCTGTGCGGGCTGCCCAACCGCACAGGGCCCAATTTTTGTAAGGGCCTCCAAATTTTTTTAAGTTTTTTTTGTATATATGTGTATTTAGGATGTTTGGCCCAATAATTTTCAAGTCCAAGGCCCACATTATTTAGAGAATAATTTACTTTGTATTTCATTTTATTACATGAAGATATTGTTTACCACTATTTAACGTTTTTTTTATAGTTATAATAAATTTTGAAATATTAGTGAACTTTATATATCTAATATTTTAGTTTTAAAAGGCATATTTTACTGTTATGGCATAGGGCCACCAAAATTTACAAGACGGCCCTGGCTTCCTTAAGCTCCAACCTCCAAGATATACACAATAACCAAAAATAGAACGTCGATCATCAGGGTCACTCTCCCAATCAAGATCAGAGCATCCTACTAAACCATACTTCTCTTTTTAAAGAGAAATCTATAAGCCAAAATCCATAGTCCCTTTTAAGTAGCGTAGAATATGCTTAATAATCAACCAATGTACCTCACAAAGTTCCTACATAAACTTAACAACTTTGTGAAAAGATAATGAAATATCAGGTCTCATATGACAAACATAGAGAAGAGCCCCAACAGCACTACGATATAGCTAAGCATCCACTGGCTCTCCACACTGTTGTTTCCCAGTGTGGGCGCAACAGAAGTTGGGGTGTCAACTGGTTGAGCAGATTGCATGCTGAACCTAGCAAGTTACTCTTCCACGTGCTGTTACTGACTCAAAAACAAACCATCGAATGTGTGAATACCTTCAATCCCAAAAAAATATTGAAGCAACCCAATGTCCTTAAGAAAAACTTAGCATGCAGATTCTTGATAACATGCTTGAAAGAGTCGCAGACGATCTTGATATTAAATATCATCAACATAAACAACAATATACTGTGTAATCTAATCAAACTTAAAATTAAATAATGAATGGTCAGCTTGAGAAGAACAAAAACCCAATGATCGTAAGTAATCACGAAGCTCGGTAAACCAATTGTGTGGAGCTTGTCATAACCCATAGAATACCTTTTTGAGCTTGCAAACCAAGACTTCACCCTGAAGACCGGTGTGTTCAAACCCCTCTAGTTGCTTCATATAAACATCCTCCTGCAGGCCACACTTTAAGAATGCATTATTAACGTCCACTTGTCAAAACTGTGTTAGGCTCGATCGATTAATCGAAAATCGTCAAAAGGGGGTGAATTGTCGTTGATAAAGTTTGGTGGAAACTTGAAGAAATAATTAAAACTTTTGGCACAAATCAATATATAATGGTTTGACTTTCTCAACCAAAGTTGACATCCACTACCTTAGCTTTTCACAACTAGGGATGTTAACAAATTCACTAATTTGTTCTTACCTTTAAGGATAAGGTGTAACCTTACAAATCTATCTTTTTAATGGCTAAGATAGAACCACTAGTTTTTCTAAGCTAAATTAAAGCCACTCCCCTTTTATAAGTTTTGAATTGAGTAAACAAGAATACCTTACTACGTAGGTCTTTACTGTTACACCCCAAATTAGGGCTTAAATATTTTCTTTAAAATTTTTCTAAGGACTAAATTGAAATTTTAACTAAATTTAGAGAACAAAGTGAATTTTTGCTAAATTTAGACCCATATTCTTATAGTAACTAAAAATAGAGGACCCAGAGTGTAATTTTACCATTTTTCTTTAATGTGGGTTTAAAAGCCCAAAAACCAGAAACTTTCCATTTCTGAAAAGTTTCAAACTTCTTTTTCTCTCTCTTAAACATTTTCTCATTTGGAAGGAAACCTTTTATCGAAGTTTTACCACCGACCGTTGCTCCGTTTTCGTCACATCCCACACAATCGTGTTCCTTGTGTCGTCCCGAGTCCACCAGTGTCCGCTTTGTCTCAGTTGTCGCCGAAGTGTGAAGGGGTGAGAAGGATTAAGTTTCTGACGTTTCAAAATCAAGCTCTTCGCCGTTCACCGCTGTGAACCGAGCTTGGTAAGTGTTATAAAACCCCTTAAAACACTATTAGAATTTTTACGACCCTAGAAGGCCCTGCAAGTGCCCCCACGCTCTGCCCCTACGAGCGAGGAAGTCTCACCACTTGGTGGGTTTTCAAAATTGGGTCGATTCGACCCGACTTGCTTGCCTGACTAGACCTTTTGCCCGACTCGACCAGACCCGTGTCTGACCTGACCCAACCCGACCCGGTCAAACCGTTGACTGGCCATTAGCCGTTGACTTCGATCAAAAAATTTGAAAAGTCATATTTTATGTTTTTCAATGTCCTGAGTCTGATTCTGCGATCTGTTTTGCCAAATTATGACTAGAAAGCCCTGAATTGAGCCCGTTGATAAAAAAAATGCCTAATATTTTTAGCATTTTTGCTTATTTATTTGAGAGTTGATTATGGAATTGATTCGAGAATATATTTTTACAAAGGTACTCATTTTCACCCGATCAAGGGTCGGTTAGATCCTGTGCTTCCCTTCCGTCAGATCCGCACGATCTGCGTTCCTTGAGAGTTACTTGTAGTTATCTGTAAATTGTTTAAGTATGGATTATTATTATTATTCATATTAGGATTCCAGTATGGATTATCGATTCGTAGGATCTAGCGCTGTCGTTGATCGTGATTGACAGACTCAGTAATAGGCTTTCTTATCAGACTACTCAGACCAATACATGTGTGTTTCCTGATGGTGTTACATTACTGTTTCAAAATGTTCATCTGAAATGTTTTAGATTTCTGATAATACTGAATATTTTTATGGCACGATACCTAATTGTTTGAATATTGTTTATCTGATATATTATTTACTGTACATTTCTGACATGATATCTGATTTCTGAATTTATGTATCTGATTTCTGAGACTAGAATATTTTCATATTTTACTAAATTAAACTATCGTCTTCACTCGAATGTATACATGTTATTACTGTCATTAGGGGTACTATTGGATGAAGTATCTCAGGTATAGTCTATGACTTGTAAGTCCTTACCGTAAACTCATTGGCTTTTTTCTCAAGGTAAGTCCTTATCGCAAGTCCTTATACTATGTGTATAAGGTTCTTACCGGG